ATAAAAAGCTTCAAGAGACTTTAATCCCAGCTCACATTGGCAACAAGAGCATAATTTAATTTCCTACTGTATGAGAGCGTTAAAAAACAAACACATCTCAGTTTCTCCTCAGAAATTCAAATTAATGGTTCTGAAATGGGGCTTGCGAGATGAACGCTGCCTGATGCTTTACAACAGCTTAGATTTGAGTCCAGGCTTTGGAGCTGGCCTTACCTCTACAGGGGGACAATCCACCACCCCAAAACCTGCCGCAGGCAGGGACTGTCCACCTGTGCACCTTGAGCTAAGTTTATTGAGTCGTAAAATTCTTCCTTAGCGAAACCACCAAGTAGTAACTGTGCAGGTCATGCATGCGGAGGAGGTGCAACATTTTTTTGACAGTCCTAAGGGTCATAGATCACAGCGGGGAAGAGAATTTCTGCTGCTGTTGTGAATTAAACTGGGTAGCAATTACTGCCACGGTGCTGAGGGAGTTCAATTGGTGCAGAAAACTAGAGGAGTTCTTGTTGTTTGTAGATCAAGAGAAGTTTGATACTACTTCCTGGGGGAAATCCAAAGTCATCTTGGAAACAACGTAATAGGGAGCTGAAAAATCTTTATATTCCTCTGTGCTTTAAGCTCTCTACTCTGCAAAAATGGAGAAAATTCCATGTACAACATCCCTATGCTTACAGTCAAGAGTTTCCTGAAGGTGATCACTTATTTTTAGCTGCACATACCAACTGTTTCTGTTTACTGTACTGTAGCTTTTGGTTTGCTACGCAAAATATTTATCATTTGCATTCTTGTCCTCCACAATGTGGGCTAATCCACCCTATTGCATTCCATCGTTTAAAACTGCACTCCTAGTCTGGTGGCCAGTGCCCCAGTTTCTCCAATCTGAACGCGGGCAACTGCATTTTAAATTGGTCATCCGCTCTACTGGCAGAGATACACTTAAAAAAATTAAACATGCAGCCGTCCTTTGCAGTAACAGCTGCCTGAGATGAACTAGCTTGAAGTAATAGACACACAAACCCACAGGAGGATACAAAAAACAGTATACAAACCGATTTTGTAATTTCATACATACTGCTAGGCGGAAGTCATTACTCCAGCATCGCACGCACACCATGTATTACTCACTCGGAGCTGTACCACCTTCACTTTCATGCACAGTAGTTAGAGGTAATTTTTCTCAGACCTACTTTGGTGTGATGCTACCCCTGAGGTTTTAAGCATCGTTGTACTTCCTTGAAACATCTGAAAGCTGCACGTGCTCGCATCTCTCCTTAGCGTCAGTGGGATGCCCGGTGCTGTTGTGTGCCACTTATCGCTCTAACTCACCTGGAACTCAGATTACGAGTTCGCAGCCCCACGGTTTTCCTCCCGCAGGTGGATCTTAGTTGCTGTTCTTCCATCGATCTTGCTTCCCATTGCTCCTGCGGCTGCAGAGTCAGAACTGTTGGTACAGTTCCAGTGACTAATTCCTGCACGGCTTCCCAGAACCATCACGGACGTGTCCATAAAGCACATGCTTTCAGAAAAGATGCGCTGATTGCTAATTCCCTGCAAAAATTACCTGCACCCCAGGGCACCAGAAAGGCAACATGCACCTGCACCCTAGGGCCCCCAGGAGCACCCGCTATCACATTGTTTTGAAAAACCTGGCAGAAGGATTGCACAACTTCAGCTGCAGCCAAGTGGCAATCCTATGAGAAATGGCCTATCGCACAAAGTGTCCTCATTACCCACTCTGTTACTTTCTGCCACTTAACAAATGATGGAGCCACCTGGCTACTCTCAGATCGGCTCCATTGTCCTTCCTCTTGTCATCGTGACATATTCCTCTTCTATTCATCAAGTGATGGTATTTCTGTCACGTCTGGGAAGGTATTGAGATGAGAGACCCGGCAGCGCATAACATCCAGCTGCATTCTGTGCTGCTTGTATAGAACATTCTGACCTTCACATACTGAAACGGCACCAATCGTATGGGAATTTGGGTGTGCGCTTGGATTTTGTTTGCTTTGTCGGTGAAACGTGGTGTCTCCCATAACCAGCTCTTGACAATGGTTTGACAAAGGAGAAAAATGGGCTGTATGAAAAAAAATCAATATTGAAACTGCTTCAGGGTACCCCTAGAAAAATGTATTTACTGAAGTCTGAAATAGCTTAGTAAAAAACCAACAACATTATCGCAGGAAAATTCTTCCTTCTGTGAGTCACTCAAACCTGTGTGGAGGCTTTACTCTTTGCTTGCCTTGCTCTGTCTTCCACAGACACCCTGTGGTTTCATGCTGTGTGCCTACAGTGCTCAATTAACTACCAAGCCCTGACCCCCATACTGGGGAGACACAACAAAGGGCGACGAAAGAGCAGCTTAGATTCTCCTTTTTCTAACTTCACAGCAGAAATTCGTGTGTATGTGAGACAATGGAGAAAAGCTGAGGGGTAACTGAAGAGTAACCGGTACAAATGCATTAACGTATTTGTCCCTGGAAGAAAAGAGGGGAGAGAGACTGTTTGCATTGCAGCAGTGCCACTGGCTCATCAACAAGTGGAATTAATTAAGATGTCCTGACCACTTCACTGCGGGGAAATCAACAGAGATGCACTCTCATCCCTGATTTCCAGCTCGTTTTACTTCTCTGCAGAGTCCTGCACATGGCACAAGATTTCCTACCGATGCACTTGAGAAGAAGACCTCCACCCCACTCCAAGGGCTTCTTGGTCCTTTCCCTCCTCTCCCCCTGGAATGCTGTCATTCCATGTGTATTCAATGTAATATAAGTACCAGGAGGAAGAAATGCCCCGTTTAGCAACCAGTCTACTGTGATTCAGAAAGGGGTAGACCTCATTACAGGAGGTTAAAAAATGACCCACAGTTGTAAAGCTCAACATTTATTAACGAGCTGTTTTCTTCAGGGAAGAGATTAATTGATGTTTGCCCTCAGAAGACACATGAAGAAAACTTGTCCCTGAGAGAATGCTGTGAGCATGCAGAAATACCAGCTTCAAAACCCAAGCTGCACGAGAAGAGAGGCTGGAAGTGACTGCCTCTTGCCTTCCCAAGAAATGTCACTGCTCTCAGTAGCAATTGCCATATGACAGCTTAAGTGACAAAAAAAAAGTATCCCGTAGCATTTTCAGTGTCATTCTCCCAAGTAGGGGGCTCGCGCTGCACGCTGCACTGAGTGTCATGCGTAGGTTATCTGCTGAGTTCAGTCCTGTACCCTCAGGTTTCTCACAAGCATACTTTCTGATGGAGCAATTCACTGTTCCCAACTGCTCCATATACAAAAACATTAACACAACAGTCTGTTCTGGACCATTCACTTCAGTTAATTGTTATGATGGGTCTCTCTAAGTCATGTGGGATTGTTTGTAATGTGTCATTGCACCGCTCAAATTATTCAGGGAAAAGAATGATGAGTGGTTTGTATCCCAGTGAATAGCAAATACCGCTATTCTTATGCCAATCTTAGGTTTGGGCTTTGTGTCAGTGACAAGCCTATTTGATGACAATAAAGGAAGGGGAATGGGAGAAAATGGCCAAGGAGAGTATCTTTGTTTTCTGCCCCTCATTCCAGTCTCCCTGGAATGTGAGGAGCAGCACTGAACAAAGAGAAAGCGCTGAAACAGACTGATAAAGCAGCGATGCCTTTGTGATAAGCTGCTTTCCTGCTCATTTGGAAGGTCAATGGTCCAGTTTTTCTCATACTTTTAAATGTGATAAAGATCCAATGCCCAAAATCATGGATTTAACGGAGTCTGTGCTCAGTTTGACTAGATAACTAAATATAGGAGCCACTTGAATCAGCAGATGATCAACAGTAGTTGTGGAATCTGTTCAAGCAGACAACTCAATACTCTCCTCTATGTGCTTTAGCCAGGAAAGGAGCTCACCCACACATTTCCCCAGAGATTTGTCCAGGAAGTTGGGAATGGAAATAGTAGAAAAGCTGGTGCTGCTGGTTTGTTGGTGATTTTGTTTGTTTGTGTGTTTTTCCCCTCTGTTTTATACTCTATCTTCTAGAGGAAATCCAAGAGTCATCCAAAGCCAAGAAGGAAGTGTCTACTCTGCCTGTATTTCTTAGTGACCAGCTGAGGACACAACTGACTGCCCTAACTCCCGTTTCTGTTCACAGATGATGTAAAACTTCACCATCTCGCTACCTCTAAATCTACCATGTTAGGCATCAGAGCTAAAGTCAGTGCCCACTGGTTTACCTTAAGCACTGTGCACAGAAGATTTAGCTTCCTTCCATACTGTTCTGTGCAGTTTACCTTAAAAGCCTTAAAATGCAGATAAAGCCATGTTGCTTTAGTTTTCAATCTGTTGACAAATTTAATCATCAATGTACAAATTGCCTTTTACGTACACAGGATGAGATTACAGTAGAGAGACCAGTTTTGAACATTCAAATGAAGATAAAGTGAAACTGTCCCTACAGCCAACTGGCAGCCGTAAGCTGCCTCAGCTCAGATCCAGCCTGAGATTATGGGTCTACAGAGTCAGCTACCAGGAGACTGTGGTTGGTGTTACAGATGGAAATTACCTCATTTCAGTGGGAAGACTGTGGAATAAGAAATTACAGGACTGGGCTCCTGACACACACGGTTTCAAATGAGAAAATAGTAATAGCAGAGAGAAAAAAAAAATACAACCCCCACCCCCCAAGTTAAAACCAAACATCAGGAAGCAGTGGGAAGGCTTTCCTTCACATACCCTCTCGGCTACAAATCAGCTGCTAATGACAATGTGATCAGTGAGGTTACAGGAGAAGACAAGGGCAGATCACAGCTGATAAGCCTTTTCCAGCTACGAAGCATTACAAACAGAGCAAAACCTCCTCCGCAAGCATGATTCAGGCTAGTGAGTAGAAATCCCAGCTATCTGCTGTCAAAAACTGGGGGCAGCAGTCTCCAGCATCCCAGAAGATACACACTTGCTGTAAGCCAAACAGATGAGGCACAGGAGAAAAATAAAAGCAAAAAGAGAGAATGAGATAACTTACGGCGATGAGCTGGTAGGAGTTGTTCATCATGGCTATGAGCATGTTCAGCAGCACAACAAGGGAGATGACGTTGTAGGTCCCAAACATGGTGGCCCCAACAAATTCTGTGAACTCATGTCTGGCTTTCACGTTGGTGACGTAGAGATTCAGCAGACCGAACACAGACCAGAAGAGTGACTGGAGGGTCTCGAAAAGTCTGCAAATAAAAGCAGATTTTTACGTGGCTACCTGACTCTGGAGAATGGAAAACAATCCCCGGTTCACGCGGGGAACACGTAGACATCGGGAGCCTGGGACACACAGAGCGGCTGCTGTGTACAGCCATTTATTCCCTCTGGGAGGCTGTCTGCGCTCCAGCCACGGTGACCCATTGGCCAGCACATGCGAGAGCTGTGTCCCATCAACATTCGCTACCTGTCCGAGAGCCCTGCCCACACCCTTGTGCGATGCAAGGAGCCTAACTGCCCTGAAGGAACCCAAGGTTCCCTTTCCCACTCTCCACACACGCAAAGAACAGCCCCTCTAATTAATCTGCCTTGCTGTGATACTGCTGTTATCAATAGATATAAACTCTCCTGTTTCATCAGTGCCTGCATTGTTAACAGGTCTGCAGGCTCAGCGTTCAGGAACCCATCCCCAAGCACAGCTGAGCAGTTCAGTAGTGCACAACAAGGCACCACGAGGTAGGAGACGCAAGAAATCACGCCCGCTTGCACCTTTTGCTCTAAAATAGGCTGGGAGCTTGCCATTACTTCGGCTGCAAGTGAACCAGGCCAGTGTGCTAAGACCCCCATCTGCTAGCGATGCACATGGCCAAAACGGCTTGTTTGTGCAGCAGCTCCCACCCACCACAGCGCAGTGCCCTCAATAGCGTGCTGCAACAATTGATCAGTAATGACTCAGATGAAAGGGAGTCATCACATTAATTCAGCTTGAGAGGTTTTCTTCTTTTGAAGTCTTCCTTCCACAGATGAACTAGACCTGACCTCACTGTGCTTTACAGCTGATGAGATCATCCCAGGTCTCTCTTTGCTTCAGCCAGAGACAAGTGACCTTTCGCAATCACGTCAAATACATAATCAGCAATCTGAATAATTGCTCTATTTGGGCATCTTTGTTTTGGCTTTCCAAAATACGGCATTTATATCATCAAAAAACGACATTTATATGCCTGTTTAAGAGTTTCCATTTTGGCCTCATGTCAGTAGATGTTTTCAAATGCTCCTACTAGAAAAATCAATACAAATAATTCAGATACTTTACTTGACATACCAGGCATCTGTTCCGTATGCACCCCCTGCGCTTTATATGGGGATTTAGTTTCTTTATATTTTATGGACATACCTTATGCTTTTCACTGGCCAAAATGATAAAAACTCTTTAAAGCAAAAATAATTTCTCCCAAAAGTCAGGCTGTTTGTTAGATTTATTAAGTAAATGAGGTGGTAAAATAAGGATTAATCAAAGAATGCTATGCATTTCTCTACTAAAAACGGTGGAGTGCTAGCTAGCTTTTATTTTAACTATTAGCAGGAAAAGTACAAATTAGGCTGTAGGCTCAGGGGAGACAAAAGTGCCTGTCATGAAACTGCAGTCAGTGTTAGAAGTGATCAGTGCATTGCTCTGAAATCACAGTATTAACCAGGAGTATAATTTGGGCCCAGACTAAGGCCAATATATTTACATGTGGCCATGCTGTCCCCCTTGAAAAAGACAGCAACTGGTTTCTTCAACTTTGCATAGAATTAAGGCTTAGTTACTCTTTCCTCAGTCTTTAATGCCAGGCCAGAACCACAATCTCTTTTCACAGTAAGTGTTTCAGGTGGGGCTCACACTACTTCAGAGAAGCAGCTTTAAAAAAAGAATTTTGGAAATTGTGATTGAGAGACTATCCCCTCCTGCTGAGGGTATTTTGGATCTTAAGCAAACAGGAGAAATCTCAAAGCTCCACCACTCTCCACAGCAGCTTAGACAGACCAAGTGCCCCCCTCTGCCACAGGAACCCTCCTGACCTGCCTGGAGAAATGGCCCCAGCGACCAGCGATCAGCGTGGCCCTCCAGTGAGAATGACACAGCAGGCAGTGAGGTGTGACTTCCTCCACCCCTTCCTCCTCTTCATCTCTCTCTTCTCCCTCCTTCAGATGCCAGAATCAATGCGATAAACATATTTTCAAACTGTCTGCCTAAGCAGTAGACACTCTGCTTTCTAAGGGATGGTGAGGCCAAAGCATAAAACCTTAAATTATTCATGACTTCACCTCGTTGCTGTCACAAAGGAGTATTACTTTTCCATGATCTGTGTTTCCGATGCAGAAAATTTCCTCACCAAGAAAATATTAAACCCATCCTTTAGGAGTAATAGGAAATAATGCACCAGTAAATAGGTGTCACATTTTAAACAAGCTGTACAAACACCAGTGGCGTCCTGTTTTTCCTTCCCTTGCAAAATTAGATCTTATTGTGTGACTGCCTAGAAATGCTGGTAGGAATCAAAGGGTACTGATTGAAAGCTTCTCACATTTATTCTTTCATTAGGCCTGAACTATGAGCAAACTTGAGGTAACACCAGCTCTGACTTGAATCCGCTCCAGCCACGCTTGCTCTCCCCAGCCCAACAATATAATTTTCCATTTTGCAGGGTGCGCGTTCTTAGCCAGTCACCCATGCTGTGCATCGGCTCAAGGGCCAAATGTCAGCTTGTACTGGGGGTGTTAATGACTATTTAAACTTTTAAGAACACGTTAAATAAATTTCTTAAGCAAGTCTCAAACAAAAAGTAACTGCAGAGCGTTCCGTCCCCTGCCAGGCGACCTCAGTCCTAATGGATCCCCTCCCACTGCGATTTTGTTTCAAACAAACCTCTGCCATAAAGGCTGAGCCCCCTCAATTTCCTTTCTGTGCTACATTCTCCTTGGCAGGGGGTTTAAACTGAATGTTAGGGTGGGAGAAACTGTGGTCTGTATTTAAGCTGATCCGCACACTTTCCGTTAAGTGGTTCTCTATCATTTCTAGTTCCCACGATTCTACACCTTCTTACAGACTTGAGGATCTTTTTTTTTTTTCTTCCCCGCTGACCCAACGCTCTTTTTTCTTTAGTCAATTCTCGCTGTTGTTTTCTCCACTAACCCGTGACAGTGAAATCCGTAAAACAACTGGTTTGCAACGGAGACAGGTCCAAACCAGAATGCAGAACGGAACGCATCTGTTCCCCGTAGCTCCGGGAAAGGCAGGCTCTAGTCCTGAACTTTGTGGGTTTGACCCTTCGTGAGCTGGAAGCTGCCACTTCACAAACAGTGCGCTTGCCAAATGTTTCTCCCTCTGGCTGCTGCATCAATATGGACATAGATCAAGGAATAGTATTTCTTATTGAATTTCTTTGCAAGGGCAGCACAACACATTTCTGGGGCATGCGAAGCAATTAAAATAGAAAAAAGAATGAAGTCTTTAATTCTGTTTTTCATTAGCACAGTGCAGTTCCACTCACTTCCTCCAGATATAGATGGGTTTAATGAGAAAATTAATCAAGCCTACGGTGTTCCTGCTCTGCAGTGGAAAACAGCAGCAAGTCTGGTCTACCAGGTCATGATGCTCTTGTAAGGTTGGATTCCATCCCATGAAAATCCCCCACTTTTAAGGAGGGAGCCCACAGAACAATGGGGGAGCCTCTCCTCTTCCAACCTAGTCATGTGGCCTCGGCCATCATCTGCTTTTGATAACAATGCAAATATGTCATAAATCCTTTCTTAACCTCAAGCCTTCAGCTGAGGAAGGGTGGAGAATTATTGAGCATTATGACAAGTTTTATTTAATTTAGCATAAAATGGTGGACAACAGTTTTGTTTTGCTTGTTTGCAGGGTGTAGGCCTTTTTCTAGACCGTGCTTTATTTATTTCTCTTCCCATTGTGTTTTAAGTACTGTGCAAGCAGCAAGAACAATTGGGTGGGGGCTGATTATTATAATTATTTCCACTATTAGTAATTAAAACAAATACATCAGAAAGACAATTCATGTTATTTTTCAGCATGTGCTATCTCTTTCAGCCCTGCCAGCTGTCATCACAGCAATTTCCATGCCAGCATCTCACGAAAGGACCAGCTTTTCCAGCAAAAAGGATTTTGCTGGGATTTTAGTCTCACTCCACTGCAAGGAGATCAGAGAAGCCTGCAACGTCATGTATGCATAAAGTGGCCTAGGTGAGATTGTTGTTGTTGCTGTATCACCTTATTTATTAATACCTTTTTTTCATGGGTTTATCCCTTGGATTCCACATTTTGTTTAGTTTCCCCTCCCTTCATCCGGAATTGGACAAAACAACTATTATGGCAAAAGGATACTTGCTTTCTCAAATATACCGTAATTGTACACAGCCATAATAAAATTTAAGTTGCAGGATCATGTAGGGAGGCTCCTTGGTCTAGAACTAAACCGATTGTCTCCCACTTCCAGACCTAAGTTATAGAGTTTTTCTGACAGCACAGCTCAGCCGAATGTCTGCCCCAGTTAACTCACACCTTTCCTGCGTAGTCAACCAGCTCACCTGATATTTGCAAATGAATAAATAAACCCACTTTCACTGTGGTGACAGACAACAGGCAAAGGCAGGGAGGACAGGGGACAGTGAAAGTCAAGCTTAAAAACAGGAAAGAAAGGACGCCTTACGTGGAGAAGGCATTGTTCTGTTTCTCACATCGGATCCCCTTGCAGTTGTTGGGTTCCTCCGAGGCACTGGTCTCGTAATAAAAATAAAGCTGGTTCAGTCCATTGGCAAAAGCCAGAAGCACCAGACAGTAGATAAAAAGGAATTTAAGGATGTCTAGCAGCATGCGTCCCAGAGAAATCTGCAAGGGTCCCAGGTGTGAATTTGCTGTAAACAGGGATATGAGACGCAAGGAACTTAAAATGTTGGATATGGCGAAGAGGGCTTCTGCAATGAGAGTCGGGTGCCACATTTCCCATTCCTCCCTTGGACGAGAACCGTTATACTGAAAGAAATAACAAGGTATAAAAGTGAATTATGTTGTAATTACTCAGAACTGAAAAAGTCACACCTGCTAATACTAATGCTTCCCATGTAAATGCTAACGAGGTACCGGTGACACACGCCAGCTACTGTCAGAGTAACATTTGGGATTCAGGATTGAAGCTGACTTGGTCAGGGCAGAGACTTAGGTTTAACGATGCTTCCTTGTGAACTCTCCTTATTAGATTATGACCCCCTCATATGGAGAGTTGTGGGACCAGCTTTTCTGTGGAGGCTTCTGGTATGTTGGCTGTTCTTAGCCTAAATTTAGAAAATAGGCTTTTTGAATTTTGAGTTCACTGTTTGCAGGTTCTTCAAGTCCTTGGGTTCATACACAATCTCCTTCTCTTTCAGCATGTAAAGGGGTTCAGACTGCCTTTTAGCAGGTTCAGGTCAGAAATTTCCAATTACCTTTTTCTCTTTTTTCTTCCAAAATATGATCGCACATTCCAGGAAGAATGCAAGGGAGGGAAAAGGGAGGGAAGAAGGAAAGCAATGAACTATTGCATGTTAAAAGTGGATGCTTTCCTTCCCTAATAATCTCAAAAAGAGTGCCAACAGCCCAGAACCAAAATGCTTTCTTCATATTAATTTTCCTATTAGTTAATTTGTCATGGCAATTTTAGGAGAGTTGCTAAAGCAGAGGTCATAATTACAGCTGAAACACTGGATACGTTTGAGTGCATCAATTATAACATTAACTTGGTTCGTAATGTAACTGTAAAAGCAGAAGCGTTTTCTGAGCAAAGTGCAGCCAGATGCAAATAGCTAACACAAAAGACCTGGTTGTATAAATGTAACTACTCTGGCTTAACTACTCTGGCACAACAGAATGGAGTCAAAGACATTTTAACATCGAGGAATAATTGTCCTTTTAACATTTGTCTCTGCTCATTTAACATGTATAAAAAGGCAAAAATGTACTTAGAATAATATAGCTAATAGCACAGCCAGCGTGTGTGTAGGACTCCTAAAATAATTTTTGCACCTCTTAAAAGGAAATGGTATCGATATCGTACTGACAGATGAGTTTGCAGGGACCTTCTGTTTAAATCTGAAGGTCCAATACAGGAGCTTGCAATTTTTTCAAGGATACAGCTAAAAGCAAGTTGATATTTCAAACTATTCCTCTGTAGGAAGGAGCTGAGACATGATACAAGGGCATTTCGGCACGACCTCTGATTGCTTCTGACACTTCCAAACTGTTCTTTATTACATGAACACCACGGCCTGAGTCTCTTAACTTGATTTGAAGATGGGTCTTAAAATGTTTACAAACAGGCAGACACGTTAACTTTTTGCCAATATCCAGCAGCAGGGGCGGATGGTGGTCAGGAAGCCTCCCCTGCCTAGAGAGCAGACTTGCAGTTGTTTGGAGTTCTCTTCTGCCTGCTGGCTGGACACAGCAGGGGCTCTCTGCTGGGGTTTGGCACAGACTGCATGTCAAGCTATATGAAAAGGTCTTCTTCATCTCATATGTATTTTTAAAGCGACTTCTTAGGGTCATATTTTGGCCCTTTATAAACTGATGGTGTATCCCTGCTTGGAAAACAGTAGTCTCTTCAGAGCAGCCTAGCATCATAGGTACCAGTGAAATAGAAGATTGCAGAGGTATCTAATGAAGCTGGGTATCTGGGTATACATACCAGCCTTTTCCAGCTCGGGACTGCTCTATAAATAACAAAAACCTTGACAAGTCATGTTGCAAAAGGCTCTGAAGCCATTATCAACGTTATAAATCCTCATGTTTCAGAGCACACCGCAACCTCGAAGTGACACGGGTCAGGAGGGGACTTCTGTAAGCGTGCTGTTTCAGAGCTGCTCTTATATAAGGTTTGCCTGACTCCTATCTCAGAATTGTCTGACATTGGTCCTCATCAGGAGCAGACCTTAGATCAGCCAGGTTTAATCCAAGTGGGTCTGATCTGTACTCACAGATATATTCCTGTAAGCACTCTTTTGTGTGCTGGCATATAGGTCTTCGTAGTTAGCCTGTAACTTTCTGTAGTTCTTACAGAGCACATAAACAAAGCTGCACTTCCTTCGTACGTGTGGTTTGGCTGTGACTTCAAATCTCAATCTGTGGCTCTATCAGTCTGTGGATGCACAGCTCTTCTAGTCATTTGTGTGTGAGAATGAGAAAGAATGAGATGGTTAATATTTTAAGATGTGTTCGTGAATCTTATGATTTCCAGCATTTTTTTCTATTGCTCTCAGTTTAAAGACCAGCCTTTCAAGTCTGTAATTTCCTCGCTAGTTCTGAATGCTGGGAGAAAAAAGACATAATCTGTTCCTGCTTTGATGCTGTTACAGAGCTGCCTCTTCAGGGAGCAGCAACTATTTTAAAGCTTTTCCCTTTGAAAAACGAACTCACCACTACGCAGCCTTCTGGATTTTAAACAGGCCCCAGAGCTGGACTGCTTGCTAAAGAATTTTTTTTTATAAAAGCCTTGCCATTTTGGAGTCAATGAGCTTTGTGACTTTTTCTCCTCTTCTCCTCTCTGCCTGCAGGACTAAACAAGGTTGCTTTGGGGAAGTGCTTGTCCTGGTTATTAGGAGTTGGGCTAAAAGAAGTAGTACCCTTCTACCAAGGCAAAACCAACGCAGTAGCACAGCAAAACTAGAAAGCGCATCAAGTGGCCAAGGAGCAGACTCGTTACTTGACTGACACTAACTGTAGTGAAGTTACTGCTGATTCATACCAAGAAAAGAATCAGGCCAAGCACACAGCTCCAACTGAAGTCAAACACAGCCATTGCGTAAGGAAGTTTGCAGGAGAACGTTTGCGTCTTGTCTGTGTCTTTGAAACAGAGAGACAGAAGGAAAGTGCTTCAGGCCATCCTCTGGCTTCAAAACATACACTAACTTGGAGCACCAGAAGTTTATAAAAGTGGAAGGTGCTTTTGAGGATGAGCTCTGATGTGCATTCTCGCCATAAATGGAACATGACAGTGAAGAACCTACACGGTATTAAAGCCCCAGCATGCTGCTTTGTCATTGCCTTGCCTCCAGTTTAAAAACTGCATATTGAAGAGAGTAAGTTGACTCCTTTTTATCAGATGGATACTAGCAGGCTTGCTTTTCTTAGCAGGCTTTTTACAAACTTCTGATTAGTAATCCACAGATCTGTAGGACTATGGATTATAAACCTTGGCTGTAGATGTTTTCAGATAACCCCATTCTTGTTTTTCCTTTTACTGTTTTATTTAAAAATCACGTTTTTGCTATGTCTAGCATTGTTGAAAGAAGTCCAGTGCCAGCAGGGAAAACAAAACATATCTTTGGCAACTGAGTAGCTACAAAACAGACAGCAAGTTGGGAAACCTCTACTCAATGCCCAAACAATCTACTTCAGTCTTAATCAAAGAGTCAGGATGAGAAGGATGATCATTCTCCAAACAAATTAATACGCTTTCCAGGTCAATTTTCAAAGCTGAGCTGCTTGAAAAGCAGCTATTCTCTTTGAGCTGTAATTTTTTGACAGTTTGTACTCTGTGTACTACACTTCCCAGAATCAAGTTACAAATTCTCTCTCCCAAGTTACTGTACCTTGACGTAGGCAACAATTTTAAGGGAGATAGTTGCAAGATAGAGGGAGTTCATTGCAAAATCCATCAGATTCCACCAGTCATGTACGTACTCATTGAATCCACCGTCCCACATTTCCTTGATTTCTCCCCAGATAAAACCTGTAGAAAGAAAAAGTTCACGGTCATGACAAGGTATTATTTGCCATTAAAGCACTGTGTTTATCTGATGTAATAAAAGACAATTCTAAATTAACAGCTTGGAAACAACATCTCATTCTTCCCGTCTTCTACAAAGCATAATACTGCTGATTTTTTACAACACTGTGGGGAATGTAGTCTAGAGAGATAGGAAAAAGACCTAGGTTTCCTACCCAGGGCTCCAGATAGACACACACAGAGACTGCTTCAATCATATGTTAACTGTAACTAGGATGAGTGGATTGGCTCAGATGCATTTGTTCCACACGAATAAACTATTTAAGCAATTGTATTTGGTACAGTTTCTAATAGATTGTCTGCTCTCACAGAAACTGTAAGTAATCCATTGCTCAGTTGGACAGAACTCCTTTTTCCCGACTTTCTCTGCAGGACATGCAACACTAGTACCAGCTTCTGCGTGCCAGTACATTTCCTCCCTGACCTGGAAATATCACAGCAAAGAAGGAAGAAGGGAATTCATTCTTTATGCTCAGTCACTGTACTTATGCGTCTTGCTGCACAAAAAGCCCACAGGGACTGTTTGTGAAAAAAGGTAGGACTCAGCACGAGAAGGGCACTGCAGCCTGGCATCGCGTCTCTCAGCAATGACTCACCTCATGTCAAATATGGGTACGGGTTTTGCGAGGTGAATGTCTGCTCCCAAGGATATGGCCAGAGCCCATCATCTCAACTCTGAAACGCCTTCTGGTAACCATTTTTTGGCACTAGCTAACCTTCACTATACCTCCTTGCAGCTGGAGTGGTGAGGGGCAGCTTCTGAAGATCATCACGAGACTTCTAAACTCACCTGGCATAAATTCTAATTTTAAGTAACTTGTATGTCCTTTATTGTGGAACTGTTTAAGTATTTTAGAGAGCCTAAGTCCCATTAAAAAGCAAATGGCAGCTAGGCTCCTTCAACACCTACGTGCTTCTGAGAATGTCTTCAGAGCCCTCAGGCATTTTGAATTACCCACTTAACAACATTATCCTTTGAATGAAGACCCAAACGTGTGTGAAAAGAAAAGAAACCAGCAACAAAATACACCTCCAGGTGCATTACCAGTATAGACACCCTGCTCACACCTAACCACAGAATACCGCAGTGGTCACTGATACGCAACTTGCAACTCAAAGTTTAAGGACCTGAAAATTCAATCTGAAGAGCAGATAATGTCGAAATGAACTGCTGCAAACATCCAAATATCAATCTTCGCTCTTCAGCTGCCAGCCAGCAGGTCAGCAGTTAGGCAAGCATAATGTCAAGGCCAATAAGGTAATTTTGTTACAGCTGCCTCCAAATCTTTGCATGCACAAAAAAACCATGAAATGAAATAAATCAATGGAGAGGAGCCTGTCGAAGAACTCATACACTGTATTTATAGGGAGTTATCATTGCTGGTTACTATAGTTACAGCAATGCTGTGCATGCCTGTTCTCTCTCTTCTTTTATAGTGGAAAATATTTCTTAAATAATAACCTTTAATCTGGGGAAAATGTTCTAATTTCTCCATTTAATAAACAGTCCCACAATATCCCTATTTATCCGAAACAAAGGAACTCAAAAAGATGAACAGACAGCTTTAAGAGGTGATTTTGAAAGGGTTTTTTTTTTTAATGGATTATCCTTCTTTCATCTGCAAATCAATTTTGCTGAAATGCCTACCATTTCCTTCAATTTTAACCATGAAGTTAAGGATAAAGTGAAGAGATCACCTAAGCTCAGAAAAGATATTTAACCTCAGCTTATTCTGAAGTTTCTACCAACACACGCATTTCAATGCCATAAATCAGCTGAAAAAGATAATGAGGCTTAAGTCACCATTTGTAAATTGTGGTAGAGCTATGCATGGAGCAAAGCGCCCTGGGTCATGACTGAAAGTGATTTGTGAACATGTTTGCAACTCTTACTTTCCTTCCTCGTTTTCCATCAGCAATTTCAGGATTGGCAGGGGGAACAGCTAGGTTTGTTCAGCACAGAACCAGCCTGATCCAGAGCCACCACAGAAACGAGGAGCTGGGGCCCAGTGTTACCAGGAGCGGGGAGCCAGCAGGCACAGGGAAGCAGAGGCGGACCCATGAGGAGCCGTAAGGAGAGCTCCAGAGATTGAGGTTTGTGAGGTATCTTCAGAAAGCATCAGTGTGGCTTTGCAGGCCACCGACACCAACACTCACAATTCACTGTTACCTGACCTCTGGGGTTTTGCACGGAACTGACCTGGGCTGGATGGACAGAGGCTGGAGGAGAGCTGTAAAGGTGTGGAAAGCATTGCCTGTGAGCAGGCCTCCTAGAAACACCCCAGCCCATAGTGGTGCTACCTGTTAATGGCACAGCAAGGGAGATGGGAGCTTAATTAAGAGGCGAGCTCGTGCTTCTAATGGAGTCCACATGTTTTCACGCGCTGTTGTGTGGGAGCTCAGTTTCAAAGGGTAAATACTTCTCTCTCATCAGAAATATATCCAACTATGCTTCTCTGCTCTTCTTCCTCAGTGGCTCTATCTGCTTTCTCCCACCCCATCTCACCACCTCACCTGTACGTCCTGCCCTCAGGAACACAGACAACTCCTTTTCTTCACAGATGTGGTGGCCCAAGCTAGACCAGAAGAGGACCCTCACGTTTAACTTTCTGATAATAAATACCCTCTCCTTCTCCTGAGTGCTCCATATTGATTTGGTCAGTGTTTATCAGCATGGAGGCACACGGCAGAGCGAGATTAATCTTCCCTTTTCTGCCTTCCTGTAGGCTACTTGGGAGTCTGGGAGCTCAGGAATCAACAGGCCTGGTGCTTGCGCACTGGCTCCGGGAGCAGATCAGTGAGAAGGTGAAAGCAGAGACGGGCTCTCGGCGCTGCCTTCTGCCACGTACCAGCCAGCAGAACTAAGCCAGCATGAGAAGTGACACTATTTGTTACTAATGTGACCCAGAAGCTAATTCCTAACCCGTTCCTCGCACAGAGCGTGGGGAAGC